ATATACTGAGATATATATACCGAGATACTTAAACCCATACACTTGAGGCAGCAGTTCACTTCCAACCCAGAGGGAGCAATCCACAGTTTTCCATTCCTGGAATCGCCACCTTAACGTGGTGGAGAGATTTGTGTGTCCAAATGAACCTGGGAGCTGTGTTGTCTGGGGCGTTAGCTCCTGGTAGGGTCTCCCAAGGCATACTGGTCCCAGGGGACAGGCCAGACTAGAAGTGATTTAAAAAAACTAATGATATTAGTAACTTTGTGTTGCACTACCTCGCCCAGATTAGGGAGACCGAGGCACCATGCTGGAGCCAGACCTGGGAGATGGGAGAGGGGAGCTTTCCAATGAGCATCTGGTGGCTGGGCCTTGGTCCATGGTACCTGGTCGGTGACAGCTTGAAGAAATTACATGGTCCCATCACCCTGTAGACCCACCACCCACAGGGAAAGGAATTAGGGTCAGGTGCAATGCAAGTCGGGCAGCAGGCCAAAGTCGGGTACCTGGGCATGTTGATCCCTGGCTGCCTAGGCTAGCTCTGGAAGTTACTGGCAAAGAAATAATCCAACACAACCAGGAAAACTACAAATATTTTACTTTTTTTGCATGGATCAAACAAAAGGCATGTTAATTTGTGAGCTTTAGTGGTGTTGGGCTGATTTTGTTACCTTTGGACAAAGTGAGGCCAGCTTTTTTCATTCTGTTTCTGGTCTTTATGCTAAGCTAACCTTGCTGATTGTTGGTAGCAGTTTCATACTTAGCAAATCAAAACGAGCAGCATTTCACTTGGTCAGAGAGGATGCACTGCTGCACCATCTTTGATTTTGCATAGTCTACTGATTTAAAAGAAAAAGATCTCTTGTCATATTCATTTTTTTTATTTCACAGCCATCTGTTTTCGTTTTTCCACCTTTATATTCACAGAGATTACCTTCCATCCGGTGAGTTTCTAATTTCAACATTTTCCATTTTCATGACCAGACTGGTAACAGTAATGTCCAGTGTCCGAGAGAAAGCCATACAGGTATTTAACATGTGCAGTCTTGTATCAGGGCTAGACACAGCACAAAACTGTGTCTTGCAGAGGACCTTTATACGAAGCCCGGGAGGGGACATAGAAGTGGAAAAAAAAGATGATTGACTTTGTAAGACCTTTCAATACTTTTTTTGGGATGCCACAAAAATATTGCAAGATCTTAAAAAACTATTGTGAGATTTTGCAAATTCAGCCATCCATTTTTCCCCCTCCTATGTCCCCTCCCAGGATCTGTACCTTTAAAACCCATATCTGTCTAAACCTATCCAAACTTTGATTTACCTGAGCAGAAACTGTTGCTATGACAACTTTGCCATATTATCACCGATGTGTGAGAAATAATTCAGTGTTCTGCACCTTTAATATACTCGAGATGTTTTAAGCAGCAACCTGAAGGAAGACTGGTTTTAATTCACATGATCTGACTGCATTCAGTTTTATGTTTGTCTCCTTTGCAGCTGATTCTCGCCCACTAGATTTCCACTGTAAATGCATGAAGAATAAGCTAAGTGGAAGATAATGGTTACCTCAGAACATGCTCTTGGTACATGACACTCAGTGA